ACTCTGAAGGGTGTCTTTTCTGACCTATCTCTGGCTCTGGCCCCCAGCAACAGTGCCTGCTCCCCGGCCACTCGGCTCCATTCAGAGACCAAACAGCTTCCTCTTCCGTTCTTCCTCTCAGAGTGGCTCAGGTGGGTTTCCCCTGTCCCCAGTGCTAACCCAGCCCTCAGCCTTCGGCTGCAGACACCCCTTATGGCCCGGGAGTTCCCTAGTCTATTGTCCTTTGTGTTGAAAATCCCACAAGCACAGAGGCAGGAGATGTGAGTGCCAGACACTGTGACCCAGCTAGGAAGTTGGCGGCGGGTGACAGAGACAGCCCACATTCCTCCCCTTTTCCAGGCCCTTCCTCACCAGACTCTGTCTTGAGACCTCGGCGATCCCCCCAGCTTCTGGATGAAAAGGAGCTAATGGCACAGCTGCGCCAGGTAAGAGAGGTGGGATCTGCGGGGCCGGGCACGGTGGGGAGTTGAGGGGGGCACTCAACCTCCTCGAGTTTCCTGGTTTCCCACTGCACCCTGTGGGTGCTTCCACTGAGGACGCAAGGGGCAGGCGGGAGTCCCCACCGAACCTGACCCCTCCCCCATCCTCCTGCCTCCCAGGTCCTTGAGTCAAGGCTGCAGCGGCCCCTGCCCGAGGACCTGGCAGAAGCTCTGGCCAATGGGGTCATCCTTTGTCAGCTGGCCAACCAGCTGCGGCCCCGCTCCGTGCCCTTCATCCACGTGCCCTCACCTGCTGTGGTCAGTTCTGTCCCCGGGCGGGAGGCAGGGGATGGGACAGAGGACGGCCAGGGCCTCTCCCTTACTCTCTTCTCCTTTTCCTTTCTCACTCTCCCCCAGCCAAAACTTAGTGCTCTCAAGTCTCGGAAAAATGTGGAGAGTTTCTTAGAAGCCTGTCGAAAAATGGGGGTGCCTGAGGTATGGGGGGTATATTCTGGGGAGCCCAGGACAGGTCCCTACTATAGAGGGTGGCGACGTTCCGGGCTCAGCTGAGCATTCCGCATGGGTGGCGGGGTTCCATTCACAGCGGTGTCTGCTCCCCAGAAAGAAGCATGTCCGCAAGTCCCTGTCCTGCATGTGTCCCTGCCCTGCATGCCTCCCTGCCCTGCACTGCGAATGTGGGCGTGGCTCAGCCCCTGGCACGTGAGGGCAGGGGGTGGGAAGGATTGTCTTGTTGCTGCTGCTGACGTCTGCTCTTTGTCCTTGTCCGTCTGTCCCTACTCCCTTCCTAGGCCGACCTGTGCTCGCCCTCGGATCTCCTCCAGGGCACTGCCCAGGGGCTGTGGACCACCCTGGAGGCTGTGAAGCGGGTGGGGGGCAGGGCCGCCCCACCCGTCTGGCCCCCTTCTGGTCTGGGCGGCTTCATCTTCTTCTACGTGGTCCTCATGCTGCTGCTCTTTGTCGTCTACACTCGGCTCCTGGGTTCCTAGGACCTGAAGTCACCCTTTCTCCCCGCCCCCATCACCCTATTTCTATTTATGACTCCTGTGCCACCCCGGTCCCTACCAGTGGTGCCTTCAGCCCCTACCAAAGACACTAGTGAGCCCCCTCCCCTCACAAACACTGACCTCAGAGGCCCCACTCTGGTGTACCCAGACCCTGGGCCCCCAGCCTCTGGCCACCCTCCTGTAGCCCCTTCCCTTCCCTCACCTCTCAGTGCTGATGGTGCCTTCATCCCTCCAGATCCTGCCCTCTGCTCCCTCAGAGGGTCGATCTCAACCTTCCTCCTTTTGCCGTCTCTCTCCCTCCCCCCCATTGTTCTGGGGAGCTAAATTATCTATATTTTGTAGAGAGAACTCTATATTTGTAGGGGATACAGGGGCCCAGGCTGGGTCCCTGTCTCTGTGTATAAATTGTACAGACCGTGGCCGCCTCTTGTGTGTGTGTTTGCGTCTGCTCCTGCTGTGGCCAGGCCCAGCCCTGGCCGTGCCCCAGGGGCTCTGTTTGTCAGCCTACCTGTTCCAGCATTTCCCTCTGGAAATGACAGGTCTCTGCTCCCCTGAACTTGGCCTCCTGTGTCATCGCCCTTCTGTCATCTGCTGGCAGCTTCCTTGTATCTTGTTTGTCCCCAAGCCATGTCCAGGGTGCCCCTGACCTTTGCCACCTCCACCTGGAAGGGCCATCCTGTCAGCTCTGTTTGCCCAGGCTTCTGTAGGGTTTCTCCCGCCCTGCCCTCTGAGAAGGACAGGGAAGCCAGAGAACAAGGTGACGGACGGGCACTTAACCCGGGCCCCTCCCACCAGGAGTCCCTGTGCCAGCCCCACCACATCTTGGAAGAGGAGGGGGCCCCGGGAAGGGGCCTCCCCTACATCGCTGCTGTCATCCACGCACTGCTGGAACGGCCATAGGGGTCGAGGTCGGGGTACAAGGCTCCGATCCGGCCGGGAACCCAGGAACAGAGAAGACAGCCGCGTCCGGCTCTGCTCCCTAGCAAGGACTCTGGTGAGGGCGGCCTCGGGCTTGGCCCTGTTACTTGGGTGCCCCTCGGCCCGCCCGAGGGTTTGGAAGCCGGCCGGCCCAGCAAGGCCCAGCGAGGCCCCTGGCCGCCCCTGGGTGTGGCCGAGGCTCTGGGATAGAAGACGGTCCCAGATGTTGTGTCAAGTGCAATAAAGAAGAAGCCGGGCCCTCAAGGTTGCCCCTCGGGTGTGCGTGTGTGTGTCCGTCTGCGAATGAATGCGGTGCGTCGTGGGGAAGGAGGTGGTCCTGCCGTGCGGGGCGCGGCCGCTCTTCCGTGGCGGTCCGCGTGCGGACCCGACAGCCCCGCCGCCAGGGGGCGCCCGCGAGACCCCGGCGGGAGCGCGCGCCACGTGGCCCGGAAACGCGCTGGGCGCCGGCGTGGTCGCGAGGCCGGGCGAGGTGGGCCGGCGACGTGCGCTCGCTGGGCGAGAGGGCGGGCCGCCGCGGGAGGAGGGAGCCTCGTGGGTCCGGGAGGAGCGAAGTGGAAGGCGCGGGAGGCGTGGGCGGCGTAGACGGTGTAGACAGTGCGGGCGCGGGGCCCAGAGCTGCTGCCCGCGCTGCCCTCCCCGCCAGACGCGGCATGTTGCCCCGGCCGCCTCCGCTGTGGGACGCGGGCAAAGAGCGGGCGCCCGAGGAACAAGGCCCCTCGGCGGGCAGTGACCCCGGCGAGGCCTGGAGCTCTGGAGAGGAAGAACTGGGGGAGCCAGGAACCCCCCCACAGGACAGGTGAGGGGCTCCGCCGCAGGGAAGTCCGACAGGGGGCCCCACCGTGGGAGGAAACCTCCGACGCCTACACTGAGGACCGGGTGTGCTCCGACTCCCCGCCCCAGACCCCCCGGGCCCTGCCTCCGAGATAAGGGGGAGGCTGTGACGGGTGCACCTCAGTACCTCCCCCTCCCAGCCCGCAGCCACGGTCCCGAAGGCCTTCCTGGACCCGGAGAGAGCAGCTGCTGCCCCGGGCCCCCCCAGGCCTGGCTGCCGAGCAGTCCCCGGGAACTCCAGGTAGGTACAGGCCTTGCAGTCTTTACCCCCCAGACACCTTTCCACGGACTCCTGAGCCTCTTTTAATCTCTTCAACTGTCCCCCCACCCCTGCAGTTGCCCTTCCGCCCCAGATGGCCTGGGAGGTGGCCCCCTCAAGGATGACCATCCTAGCACCGTGGGACCCCAGCTACAAGGCTAAAGCAGGACCTCGGCTGGTGTGGGTGAGTTGGGAGTATCTGAGGCCCAGGCCTTGGGAGGGGGCAGGGGTGCCCCGGGAGGGGGCCGAAGCTCTAAGGATCCTTCTTTCCTGCCTCTGGCACAGGGGCCCAGCTGTGCGTCAGGCGCCTCCTTCTCGGGCCGGACTTTGTGTCATCCCTCGTTCTGGCCACTGTATGAGGCAGCGTCAGGCCGGGACCTCAGGCCCCGGGCCCCAGCAACAGGGCATCAGAACGGAGAGCACGTGCCCAGGGACGCAGGTACTTTGCTTGGTCCCCCAGGCTCTGGAGGTTCCCTGCGTGAGCTCGTCTGGGAACCAGTGCGGCCCTCGCTGGGGTGGGAACCCCAGCCTGCTGCCCTACTGGCTTTTCCTCCCCAGGGCTCCCAGTGATGTGCCGAGAAGATGTCTTTCTGTCAGACCCGCTGCTGCCCTGTGGCCAGCGTGTCCCGCTGTACCTGTCGGAGGCCTCTCAGCAGGTGAGTGTAATTCCTGCCCTGGCCTCGGGCCAGTCTCCCCGCAGGGCTTGGCAGGAGACCCTTCTCCCTTCATTCTCTCTCCTCAGGTCTTGGGCTCTCTGAAGCTGCTGCTCCCACCTCCTGTCATGTCTCCCTGGGTCCTCCGCACCTCGTCCCCGGGCTGCTCCACCGCCTGGCTCAGTGGGCCTGAGCTGATCGCCCTCACTGGCCTCCTGCAGATGAGCCAGGGGGCTCCGAGACCTGCCTCCTCGGGGGCTCCCACGCCCCCTGCTGGCTCCCCAGACCCTGTATCTGACCACCCAGGCCCCAGTGGCGGCCCCAGTGGCGGCCCCAGTGGCGGCCCCAGCTGTTCTCGCTGCACTGACCCGTCTGTCCCACGAACTCCAGAAGCCCACTGAATATAGCTCTTCTGTGGGCATTGTGGGTCCCCCCTCCCCCCCACAGGTTCTGTTGACAATAAAAGAGTGTTTTGGTTTGCAAACAAGCTCCTTGTAGCAAGTGAGTAGCCGAGTGGGGCATGGAGACAGGGATGGGTTCTCTTCCTCTACGTGGCTTAGGCTGTCTTCCCCTCAAACTTTCATTACTCATCGGTCACCCCTGCAAGGGGGCAGGGGAATCCGTGGACCTAAGACCTTTTGAGGCTGACCAAGCAGGACCACTTTAATAGGGTATAGGGCATAGGGTGTGAGGGATCCACAGTACAGTATACAGAAGACAAGGATATGGAAGCAAGAAGGCCCTCAGGTCCACCGGGATCCAGAGAAGGGAGGATTGTGCGAACACTTGTGTTGTACTGTGATCGTGTTGTCACTGGAAGAGGGAAATTAGGGAGGAAGGGAGCGGCACAGCGCTTTCAGGAAGCGGTAGAGATAAGATACCTGGTGCTCCAGTCCTCTTGCTCTGCGGCCCTGGGGCCGGGACTGGTTCTTTGGCTGCGAGGAGATACAGGCAGGCCGTGCAGGTGCGGGGTGGGGAGGAGCAGGTCCTTGTGGGACCAGTCATGGGGGTCAGGGTTGGGGGCCAGGGCTGACCTGAAACTCCAGAGCGATGCTGCAGGAACTCTGCCAGGAAGGAAAGGATCAGGGCTTTGGGTGAGAAAGCCTGGAGTTCCTAGGGGTTTGTGGGTAGGAAGCGGGGAGGGTGGTTCTAGAATTTTATCCCTTAAAAGAATCCAGCTTCTTGGGGAGCCTTTCCTGAAGGTTTCTCAGGTACCACATCTGGAAGAGACGGATGGACAGCAGGACCTAAGGGACAGCTCAGAGCTCCTGCAAGTTGCAGGTCCTAGGGGGCCTGAGAGCCCCTCTTGTTTTGGGAACAGTTTGAGAGGGGTTGAGGGGAGCAGGCAGGAAGGCATTCATAACTTTGCCCTGTTCTCTCCCTTCCTTCCCATCCCTCCCTCAGCTAGACAGGGCGGAGCTGCCCACATCTCACCGGAGCCTCCCTGAGGTTCTGGAACTCGATGCGGGCATAGCTGTGTTGTGGGTTCCTGCTGTCGCCTCGAACCTCCAGTGAAGGGATCAGGTCCAGGTCAGCGTAATTGAGGCGGCCGTTGGGGGGTTCTTGTGTGGCAGTGCCCATTCCTAAGTAGTCAGGGGCCACGTACTTGATGCACACGTACTCCCCTGCTAGCTCTGAGGGTGGCTGCAAGGAGGGATGAGCCCCTGCTGGTCCCCAGCATGCCCCCATGCCGCGACGTGGTCCTTGGAAGGAAGGTCCAGACTCCCCCGCCCGGAGCTCATAGGAACCGGGCAGGGAGCTGGAGAACAAGGACCCTGGCAGAAAGCGGCTCATGGGCACATATTCGGTGCCTCCGCAAACTTGGAGCTGGTCGTGGGGGGTTGCGTGGGCAGAGGCCGCAAGGCCAGGGGGTGCCATCACCATGTAGCCACCCGCTTTGCCACCCCCCATGGGCTCATAGTCGCTCCCGGCTCCCATGGCTACGTAGCCCCCTTCCAGCTCCAAGTCCTTGGGGTGCGAGGCTGCCGTTGCCAGCGTCTGGAGGGTGGTTTTCCTGCTTCTCTCCCTGAGGGCCCCGCGAGGGCTCCCGCCGCTTGACTGGGCCGTCCAGGCCAGGGTCGGAGAAGATCGGGAGGCAGAGGGTCTGTAAGCGCCGGTCGGGGGATCCCTTGGCAGTGGCTCAGCCCTACCAGTGGCACCGCCCTCCCCGAGTCGCTTCATGGCGGCCAGTACTGTCTCGTGAATGCTTTGGGCCACCAGGGCGTCGGGCGCTTGTAGCCACAGCTCCCCGGGACCCGTGGGCGCAGAGCGGCCGAGCTCCAGGAAGAAGAAGGAGTCCGCGTGGCCGCAGCGGCGCACACTGAGCAGGGACAGGCGCAGGGCAGGCGGCGGAGGCGAAGCCTGGGTGTCCCCAGAGCCTCTGCCCTTGGGCTTCCGCAGCAGGCTCAGGACCCCCGAACCCAGGTACAGGCGGTAGCGGCCACTGCCCAGGCCTCGTGTTCGCCCCAGTCCCTTGGGCCGCAGCGTCACGGGCCAGACGTCCTGAAATGGAGCGAGAATCCAGGCGCCCGGGTCCTCCTGGAGGCTGGGACCTGGAGAGACAGGGGGCCGGTCACAGGGGCTCTTGGGGCGGGGGGGTTTGGAGTCACTGTGCCCCGAGAACTAAACACATGTAAACGCTTCATGTTTGAACTTGATTTCGGAGACTTACAGGGAGGGACATCCCCGGATAAACTCAACTCGCGATCACCCAACACCCGGCCCCCCGCCCTCGGCTCCGCCCGCCCCAGGCTCGGGCCTCACCCGCGGCCGCGCGCGCCTCCAGCAGGGCGCTGTACCACGCCCGCTGCTCCGCCTCGCAGGCCGCCGCCACGCCCAGGCTGCGGTCGCGCGTGTAGAGGACGATCAGGTGGCGCTGGCGCGCGTCCACGCGCTTGCTGATGGTGCACGCGCCCGCCAGGCTCACGCTGAGCTTGGGCGGCGCTCGGCCCGCGCGGAACTTCTTCTCGCTCTCGTAGCACTCGAGGCGCGGCGGGTCGGCGCGGAGCACGAAGAAGCGGCGGCGCTGCGACTTCTGCTTCCGCAGGTGGCCGCAGAGCCGCACGTCAGCGGGACAGGCCCCGGGCCGCGGCAGAACCAGCGGCCTGTCCGCCGGCTCGGACTCCGGGGCCGCCGTGGGGCCACCGCCTCCGGGCTTCATCCCCGGCCAAAGGCAATCGGGGCTGAGACTCAGCAGAGGCGGGGTGGAGGTGGCGGTCTCCGGGGAGGGGGACAGCGTCCTGACAGGCTGCCACCCGTCTTGATGCCCAGCGTCTCGCCCCTGCTCCGGACTTGGAAGTTTGGGGCAGGGGGTCTGCGGTGTCCCCTCGCTGCGCGCGGCGTATGCGGCACTGGCTGCCCGGAGGTTCCAGCGGCCTCCTCGGAGGCTCGACCCCGGCCGGCTCCCCACGCCTCCAAACGCCTCCTGCCCCCTCCCTCCCTCTGCAGACCGCTCCAGAGTCCCCACCCCCGCGGGGTTAACCCTCGCGCGCCCCCGGCGCTGGACGTCGGGCCGTGGGAGTGAAATCTGATTGGGAAGTCTGGGAGACCCGGCCTCCACCCCACCCCAAGCACCCTTGGGCTGGGATTGCGGAGGCGGGGAGTGCGTGGGCGTCTGCTCGGATCTGAGCTGACTGCTAAGGGAGCGGCCAAGTGAGGCCAGTGTGAGTGGAACTGCCTCGGGAAGCCATCCTGCTGGTAGGGGGGGGTCCGCAGTCCTGCCGATTTGGGGACCGCCCTGACAGGCGCGCCACCTTCTGTTTCCGCCACTTCCCACTCTGGGCGTCCAGCACCTGCGTTCCCCCCAACAATGGTTCCATACTTTTTCCCAACCCAGCCTAGCTGTCAGGGCCACCAAGCACTGGGTTGTGCTGATTTCAGAAGAGCTGGAGTTTCAGGTTCTCTCCGCGTTTAGGGTGACAGGACGGGTCTTCAGATAAGTGAGCTTTTGGATGGGTCCCTGTGCATAGACCACACCACCAGAGTTCCAGCCAAGGGGCCACTGAAGGAGAACCTGGGAAGAAACCTCTCACTGCCCTCAGCCCCCTCTCAGCACCACTGTCCAAAAATGCCACCATGGCCAGCAGAAGGCTCTGACCAGAGGTGCAGACTCTGTGGTGGAGATAGCCTCGGCCTCTTCCGTCCTAAGATTTTGAGATAGGTTTGGGATTCAGACATTTTACACCACCCCTCTTCGGATCCTTCCAAGGACCGCAGCCTCCTGCGGGGGCGTGGGGTGGGAGGTGACGGCTCTAGTCACTAACCACTCTGCAAGACACCCCCAGGAGCTGATGCTTGGGTGGGAGCCTTAGAGGACCTCCTGCTATATCACTCTATGGCAAGTAAGAGCTAAAGCGGGGGCTGCGGGGAGGGTAGAGGAGAAGGAAGTGGGCAGCCGAGGTCCTGTTGAAGGCGGCATATGGGGAGGAGGGGATATAACAAGAATACGTGGGGCGCCTGGGTGGCTCAGTGGGTTAAAGCCTCTGCCTTCGGCTCAGGTTATGATCCCGGAGTCCTGAGATCGAGCCCCGCATCGGGCTCTCTGCTCAGTGGGGAGCCTGCTTCCTCCTCTCTCTCTCTGCCTGCCTCTCTGCCTACTTCTGATCTCGGTCAAATAAATAAATAAAAATCTTAAAAAAAAAAAAAAAAAAGAAGTCCCCAGAGCGAAAAAAAAAAAGTACCGAGGCAAGGGAGGCCTGCTCTCTGCCTCAGACTAGTCCAGAGGCCATAACAGTCTGAGATGGGAGGACAGGCCGTGCCACTGACGCTTCTCCATTTCCCAGGCCTGTGAGGAAGGGACTCTTCTGGAACACTGGGGACGCCGTGGTGCAGTGTGCGTGCAAGCTAGGATCTTTGACCATCTTTTCAAGGGTCACGTTGAGAGTGAGATGCAGAGCACCAACCAGCATGTGAGGGTACGCAGCTGGCTGGTAGGCAGGTGGTGCCCGGGTCCTCCACCAGGTGCATCCGGGTCAAGCCATAGCTTCCCAAGGGGCAGGGGAGGTGCCGGCAGATCACGCGTGCACTGGGGCCAGTGGCAGTCACCGCCTTTGGTGGGTATCAGCCAGGGAGAAGCAGGTATGCGACAGACCTGTAAGTGGCCACCCAGACAGATGTTCAAGGCCACTGCCTCCAGTGTGGTCTTCACAGACTTACGGTGTGCAAAGCAGCAAGCAAAAGAGATCTGCAGGCCCCTCCCCTTCCAAGGCTTGGTGCTGCTTGGAGGAACAGGGCATCCATAGGGCCTATGATGGGCTGTGCTTTGAAGCTACCCACAGGAGGCCCTCTTCATCCCTACTCCTTCCCGCTCCCCACAAGCCAGGCCACCATGCAGCACCCCAGTCCTTGTGCAATCATAGCTGCCTCAAAGACCAGCTCCAGGCCACCTTGTGTCACTGAACCCTGAAGTGCTGGGTACAGATGGAGCAGGAGGGAGCAAGGATTGGAGTACCTGGGTTCTGGGCAAGCAGTGCCAGGTGATTTAGCCATGCTGGGTACCAGGAAAAGCCTGGAGCCAAACAATTGGCCTAATCAGTTGCCCTAGCAACATTGCCCTTAGCCCTACCCAGACAAGATTTATTTTAGCCTGTTGACCTGGTAACGCCAGCTGCTCCCCAGGGACAGGAAATAGCAGAACCTCAGCTCTGCTGGGTGAGAACATCTCCTCCCAAGCCCAGGGATCTCCCTCAGCCTCCCTCCGCAGGGTGCAGGGTGGCCATGGGATGGAATCGCCACATTCTTAAATCCCTATGCAATAATCTCATTACCAGTGACAGGAACCTAGAGGAGACTGGGGAACTAAGGCTGGGATGTTCCCCTGAGCCCCTCCCTCCCCACTCTGGAGTTCTCCCCACTCTATGTAGGGGGACGCAGGGAGAGCCCCCATCTCCTTCCTTCAGCCTTCCCCCGTCATGGCTCCCAGGCCCCAATGTGGAGGGATTGGCATTCTTCACAGTGGTCCTGGGGACGGTCTCCTCTGATCTCACCTACAGGGGCAGGGGACCTCCCGAAGGCTGGGGCCAAGCCACAGGACTCTGTCTGCAGAGCATGGCCACAGCATGGGCTGCCTGATCAAAAGCCCAGGGGGAGCCTGGGCAAGCTCCACAGTGTGCCTGGGGCTCCTCGGTTTGGCTGCAGTGGGGTTCGGACATGTGACCACAGACAGGGCCATGCAAGGGCGGGCTGGGGGCGAGGTCAGAGGAACACGGCCCGGTCATTCAGACATCTTCTAGCAGGCCAGGGATTTTTCCATTCTTTGCTGCTTGCCTGGATACAGGAGGCCCCAGGGAGGCGGCACGGTGGCTACTCCATGCCAGCAGAGACAGCTGCGGTCCTCGTCTTGGCCTGTGCCCAGGGAACTCGGGTTTTCTGTCCTGGAGTTGGAGGCTGATCCAGTGTAACTTCTCTGATTGGTCATCCTGCCCTGGCCAGTGAGCTGGCAGGAGTCCATGTTGGACAGAGTGCCCTGGGGCGCACGGAGGGGGACCGCAGGGAGGTCCTCGGCCCGGGCACCAAGCAGTAAGGAGATCCTTGGGAAACAAACAGCAGGAGTGTGACTGAAGGGCCCTTTCCGTTTCACCTCCAAGCCTCAGTGCTCTTGGTTAGGAAAGGGAGTTGGGGTGGCCGGGGCCAAGTAAGAAAAGGGTCCTCCTCCTCCTACACGCCAGACCAGCTTCCTCCTCTAACTGGTTCTACAGAGAGAAAATGGGAAACAGGGACAAGGGACAGAGACGTAATCAAGTGGGGACAGAACACGAAAGACCCAGGGATGGTGGTCTCTAGGAGATCCAGGTGAGAGGAGGAGGAAAGGGGCTGGGAGAATGGAAACAGGGACCCAAGACAGGATGGGTTCTGAGCCTTGCAAAGGTGGGGAGGCCACGCCTGGCTGGGCAAACAGCAGCAGCTAGAAATATTTCTATTTCTAGTCTTCAAAGTAAATAAACCGATAACACAGTCCCCACCTCTCCTTGCTGTTCTGCTGTTAAAGGTCACTGGGTGGAAAGACCCAGAGAATCCCAAGAATGAACAGCGGAAGGGCCGAGACTCCCTGGGCAATGCGGAAAAGGGAGGAAGGTCTCTTGAGAGCAAGGCTGAACGCTGGGCCTCTCCTCCGCCCCGTGAGGTGTTTAACCCACACTGGCTACCTTGTCCCCACACAAACAGCCTGGACACCGTGGCTGTTGACACAACACCCTTGGGTGAAAACAGTCTGGGGAGGGGCCAAGGATGCACCGGCCGGGCCTGGGGGCGGTCTACTCCTGCACTCAGATCCCAGCATCTCCATCTTGGAGCTGGCTCCCCTGGTGGAGTCACCCCGTCCCCTAACACTGCTAACCCGGTCCGGCAAGAATTCCTGTCCTGGGCCCGCAGCACCACCAGCTTCTTCATGGACCCAGCAGTCGCACTGGGGCCCCTGAGCTAAGCCAAAGTGAGACCATGGGAGCCATTTCCTTTTTCTTTCAAACGCAGTTCTTTTCCAACATAGCCTGCCACAGCTTTGGCTCAGAGATTTGGGGGGTGGGGGAGGCACATGGGAAAAAGAAAGGAAAAATAAAACCAGCCAATTGCACAAAGCCTTTCCCTGGAAAAGCCCAGGCTCTGGGGTGCTCAGGACTCGTGACTGCCCTCCCCACCACCCTCTGGAGCTCCGGCTTTGCTGGTCGAGGCACAGATGGGGGTCCGTTCCATTCCCCATGTGAGAGAGCTTTCTGGGAGCAGAATGGCGGCCTGTGTCTATATATCTCTATGTGTGCGCGCGCGTGTGTGTATATATAATAGACTATATTAGAAAATTCTCTATGTATAAATATAAAACACCGGTATCCAAACATGACACCACAGCAAACTAAAGTGCTTGACAGGAGTTGGGCATGTCTAAGTAGTAGGTAAAACTATTATTCATCCCAAGTACCCAGGATGAGGGAGGTTGCCGGGGAAGCAAAACCATGGAGGGCCTCCTGGCCTGGTGGGGGTGGGGAGGAAAAGGGGGTGCTGGCACAAGCCAGGGCACCAAGGGCAACCTGCAGCCCCCCACGCCCCCCCAGCCTTCTCAGCCTGTCTGATCACTGTCCCAGGTCAACCCCACACCTCTTCTCAAAGCCACACCTTGACCCAACTTTGCTCATTGTGCATCTGTCCACAAGGAAACCAGCACTGGAAAGTCGGGAATAGGGGGGAGGCTTGCTCCCACAGGGGAATGCTGGTCCATCTGTGCCCACAGCTTCCTCTGCCCACACGGCTGGGAGTGAAGGGACCACTACGTATGCTGAGGGCAGGAGGTGAGGATTACTGTCATCATGATTAGTGATTGAGAAATCAAACGCCATCACTCCTCTAGGCCAGGCCCTGCCTTCTCTCCTCTTGGGCCTCCTGCCTGGGTGGGGGCTGGAGAGAGGAGGGGAGAAGCCTTGGGGGCAGCTGACCTGGGAAGCTGCCCTTTTATCTGCAAGCCCCAAGCGAAGCATGAGCACCTCCACCATCCCCAAGACGGCTTCCCTGGAAAACAAGGCCCATTCTGGTCTCAGACCCACAGAAATGCCACAGGCAAATGGTCACCAGAGCTCCTGGGAGTAGAGGGGCCCCAGAGGGCAGGGAAGAGGCCCCCCCCCAGGCCACAGTGCTACAAGAATGGGTTGGTGGTTGGAGGTTTGGAGGCAAACGGGCTTGATGAGGATCCAGTCTGGAAAGAAACAACAACAACCACAAATTAGGGGATTAGGGGAGAAGAGCTGGAGGCCGGAGAAAAGATGTGGTCCAGCATTCCTTTCTCCCCCAGAATTACCGCGCTGGGGGTTGTGGGAAAGTCAGGGGCCTGAGGCAAGTGGGGGGCAGGGGAGTGTGGGAGACAACACCACCCACGGACTAACCCAGCACCCCCTGCGTTGTCAAGGCAGGGTTTCCAGCCCACACTGCCCTGTTCTCCTCAAAGGATTCTGTCCCGGACCCCCAGAGAGAGGCCACACCCGCACTCACCACAAAGGGGTTGGTAGAGGTCCCGCCTGGCTGGCCCAGTTGCCTCTGGCCCAGCTTGGCTGGTCCTAAGTCGCTGAAGGAAGAGCCTGGAAAGCAGGAGCAGAAACTCAGCTGACGCAGCCCTGCCCCTCCTGTTGGGGCTGAGCAGTCCACCGGGCAGGCCTGCAGGCTGGGGACCGCCCCCTCCCACAGTGGCTGCAAGAACCTGGCCTTTCTGAAGTCTGCGAAGGAGGGTGGGGAGCCGAGTCAGAGGACACCAGGCGGGTCTACGGCTTCTCTGGCCCCCCCTACTGGTCCAAAAGGGAACTAGCTCAGACGTCTGGCTCCCTGATAGTCCTAATAGTCAGGGCCTCCAGGCTGCAGCCCCGCAGCGGCTGGGGGTGGGGGCTGGGGATAAGAAAGGAGGGTCTGGTCTGAATCCCTTACCATTCTGCTGCTGAGTCACCGAGGTCTGTGCGGGGAACGGGGGTGGTGGGAAGGTGCTGACAAAAGCCCTGGTGGGTGGCACTGTCTGGGGGAAGCCAGGCTCAGCGCTGCCCATCCCAAAGCTGGGCCCTGTGGAATGAGGACACGAAGTTCAGGTGAAGTTCTGGAACGCAGGCTGGAGAATGGTTCTTCCTGGATCTCTCCAAGACGGGGGACATGGGATAGTGTGTGTCCCTAACCAGATGTACCCAGTAAAAGTACCCGGAGAGAGCCACGGAAGCTTTTGGCTTTCACGCCACCTAGCAAACCAGGCCTCTTCCTGCCCACAGTGGCTTGTGGCATGGAGGGCACAGCAGTGCCATGCAGGGGCGTGGCCCGGAACCGGGGTCAGCTGCCAGCTACTTATTAAACTGTGCCAACGAAAGCAAAGTATTAGCCCTCTATGGGCCTCAGTGGTCTCATCTCTAAAAGCAGGCTGGACCCCTTTCCTAGGGATGCTGGGAAAAGCCAATAAGGGGTGTAAAGCTGTCAGCAGTGGGGTTTGCCACGCCTGTCAGCGGCGCCGGCAGCCACCAGGCATTCTTCCTGACCTCAAGGTTTTTAACAACAACAACAACAAAGGCAGGGGAGGAACAGGGAGCCAGGAGATCCCAACACTCCAGGCCGATGAGAGCAGGGACCGGGGCAAGGCTGCAGGTGGGACACAGAAGGGGGGGGGGGGGGGGGGACACTGCTGAGGGGCGAGAAGGGAGAGTCCCTGTCACATCAGTCGCAGAACCAGCTCAGGAAGCAGTGGTCTGTTTGTCGTGATTCTGAAATTCTCATTCTGGGACTTGGGTGGTCGTACTCTTTGCCCACTAGGCGGCCTGAAAATTCAGCCTGGTCTGGCCCGGTGAAGGGTGAGAAGGGGGCTGATTTCAGGACCGAGGCTGCCCGCCGCTGCTCCGAACAGTGGTGTGTGTGTGTGTGTGTGTGTGTGTGTGTGTGTATGAGAGAGAGACAGACAGACAGACAGAGAGAAGGGAAGGAGAGGGATTTGCGCCCTGGAGAAAGTCAGGGCCAGGGCAGAGTCCGGAGGCTTACCTGTGGCCAGGCCGTTGGGCTGGAATGGGTTGGTAGAAGGCAGCTGCGGGAGAGCAGCAGGTACCGTGAAAGGGTTGGTGAAGGTTGCTTAGCGTAGAACGGGGTAGAGGTGGGAGAAAGAGAGAATTAATCTTTCCTCATCTGGTTAATATTCGGGAGACAGCATTCCTCTCGACTTTCCTGCGTTTTCTCCCCTCCCCTCCCTGCGGAGTCCCCAGTTTCCTCTTGGCCTTGGATCCCCTCCCAGGGTCTTCACAGCCAAGACTCACCTCCAAAGGCAAGCCCAGTGCTGCTGCCTCCACCAGCTGGGGCCGACTGGAGCGTGGGGACCTGGCTGGCCACCCCGAAGATGCTGTGATGTGGGAAGATAAGTCACCACACAGGGCCCCAGGCATCAAGGGGAGAAGCAGGGCAAGGGACCAGGAGACGGCAGACCCTGTCCCAGCCCATGGGAGGAGCTCAGCAGGCCGGGAAAAGCAAGGCTCTGCGGCCCCAAGGCAGAGTCCCTGACCTCTGAACCCACCTGCTAGGGATACCTCCAGCCGATGGTCCGGGCGCCAGGAAGCCACCCATATCAGCAAGGCTGCTGGGCTGGCTGGCCGGTGCCAGAGGAGAGGCCGCAAACGGAGTCACCTGGCTGCTCCCTGGGCGATCACAGGAAACAGAAAAGGTTGTGCTGGGGTGAGGCAGGAGGGAAGGGGCAGGAGGAGAGATGGAGGTGGGGGGAGCAGCGGGGAGACGCAGCAAAGTGATGGCATGAGTGCACCATTGATTGAGTCCCCTGGATTGTCTGGTTCAGAGGGCCTCGACTCCCGCCAAGAGTACTAGGTAACATAGCCCTCTGCCCTTGTCCATCTCCCTAGTGCTCAAACCGCCCTCAGGTCGGGTCCATGTCCCTCTGGCTGTAGGCTGACTTGCGGTTCCCTTTTTTCCCTCAAGACATGGAAATGTCTGTCCTTTCCTCAAATCAGCATTTATGGATAAATCCTAGGAAGGGGCAGGTAGAGGGGATGGGCGGGGAGGAGCTCTGAGGGGCAGAAAGCCCAGACGCTCAGGAGCCTCTCCTGGAAGGTGGGGCCCTGCGCAGGAGCCTGCACAGACAGCTGTCCCCTCTCGGGAGGCCACCCTAAGCCAGGAGCTTAGATCAGGGTTCCTCTGCCTTCTCCGCCTTCTCTGGCCATCACATCGCAAAAGAGAAATCCCCGAGGGCGAGCCCACGTGGGAAGCTTCCAAAACAGCCTGAGGAGCGAGTCCAAAACATCTCTGTTCTTTGGAGAAAGCCTTTGTCTCATTTCTATGATGGGGTCCGGTCCACCACTCTGGGCTGTCGTGAGGGCAAAATGAAGCTACGGATGGATAAGGCTTGACTTTTATGAGTGCCGGAAGATTCGTACCGAAGGCAAACACGCTTCGCATGGTGTCTGCCGCACGCCAGTAATCCGAAATTGTCTGCTGGATGACCGCGTTTGAGAGGGCGAGCGAGGAGACCTGGACTCCAGCCCGGGCCCTACTCTGGCTCCTGCTGCGACCTCCTGAGCCTGTTTTTGCTTGCCCTCTCCTCGGAGGCCTGGAAGACCACCCGCCCCCAGGCTAAGTGTTTTCGGCAAGTATTTGGCAATCTGTAACGCATGCACAATGGGGAGGTATCATCATTAACTTTTGATACAATAAACTGTCTCCAGGGTCAGAGAAACCAGGCAAGGTCTCAAAGGAAAAACGATGGCTGGCTCGAACACAAGCAAACCAGAGCCTCTCCTGGACCCCCAGCTCCAGGCTTTCCAAGTGCTCTGTCTCCACCTTGAACAGGAGCCCCCCCCCCCCCCCCCCCCCCCCCCCCCAAGCCACGGTCCTCCCCAGCCTTCGGGCTTTAACAGAACCATGTCCTCAGGTGGGTCTCCTCTGACCTCAGTCTGAATGAGAGCCTGGTTTTCCTCTCCTGACACCTTGTTCTTTGCCCTTGTGGCCCTTGACATCTTTGTAGGGACGTGTTTTTGTTTCTGTATCAACTGTGTCCCCCTCTAGACCAACTCTCCCTTGCCAGGAGTTTTCTCACGGATCTAAGTTACAAATGTGCAAAACAGGACACATGCGGGATAATTAACGGCAGCACCGTCTGACAGCGAAAGACTTCATCATTCGTTCTATGTATTCATGAACACGGGACGGATTAAATAAATGATAGTGTACACATAAGCAGGACTACTGTGCAGGCATAAAAGAACAATGAGGAAGCTCTTCATGTACTGATGAAAAAAGATCTGGCCGTACTGTTCAGTTAAAACATAAATCAAGGTACAGAACGCCATGTCTATTATGCCACCAAGCATGGGGGAAAAAAAAAGAGAGAAAGAAAATAGGATGATAAGAAAAGTAAGTGAAGGCCACAGGCTCCTCTTCCCAGGGGCATGGCGGTGGAGAGGTGGGGCTACAAAGGCTGCCTAAAGGAGGGTAACCCAAAGCCTATTTGTGGGGAAGGCGGAATGTGGTGGCAGAGGTGGAGAGAGTGGAGGGGAGACTCAGATGAGAAAACTGGTGGGGAAAATCCTGTAGAGAGTGGGAAGGATGAGCGGGCAACCGTCAAAGGGCAGATACTCCCCACCCCCTTAGAGGAGGGGGATAAGGGCAAGGAAAAGGGAAGACACAAAGCAAGGGAGGTGGCCAAGCCAGGCTGGTTCTCAAGTCTATGCTGCTCCCTGGCCCCCTCAAACTTTAGCCTGGCTTCCCCTAAGTTTGGGGGCTTTTCTGAAGACCCCAGAACTATCATTTGAAGCTCCATGCTCTTCCTTCCCTAAAGGGCAAGGCCAAAGCCCTTTAGTTTAAGGGGATCCTTCCAGTGCTAGGCATCTCCACTCAGACTTGGAGAAGCTGAGTCCAGCAGGGAAGGTAGGTGCCCAGGGCCGGCCTGCCTGCTCCAAGGTTCCAAGGTTGGGCTGCTTCCCGAGTGCCAGTGCTTGCCTTGGCCACCCTCCTTCTCAGTCCCTGGGCTTTCGACGGGAACCAGTGCGAGGCTACCAGGCCACTGAGCACACTTGGTCTGCGTCCTCCCCAGGCCCCAGGCGGTCAGAAAGACTGGAAACCAGCCTCCTGGTGTTGAATCTTCTGATTCTCGGGGGCCCCTGGCCTTTCCTGGGCTATGACTCGGGGTATGTGGAATTTCTGAGTGAACACAGCTTCTTGTCCTCACTTAGGTCACACTCCCCAGTCCTGCTCTGGGCCTTTGGGTCAGGAGCTCCGCAAGCTGGGGAGGTGCTGTTGTGTTGGACTGCCGCCGCTAGGCTGTGTGTCTCCTGGCGGACACTAGGGGGCAGAGCCGGCCCTCGCGGACAGCCAGGCGGCTCCAGCACTTTCGGCTGGTTCTGGGGAACCTAGGAATGGAATACCTGCGCTCGTTTGCTTCCTCTACACTTCCAGCGCCCCATTCCCTGCGGCTGGATTGGTAGACATGCCTTCTAGCAGTTTCGGGGGAAACGGCAGTTTTAGAAACTTCCCCTCTCCAGACTCCCCCTCAGAAATAAAAATACAACCAGGCTTGTCAAAAAAGACACCCACCTCTCACCCAAGTCTCCCTACTTCATCCCCAGTACTCCTTTATGGCACACTCAGAGAACCACCCTCGTGATCAAGGTGTGGTGGGAAGTGAATGGGAGCTGCCACTCCTCCGCTATTCGGGTCTGCCCAGGTCACTGGCCACGTTGATCTGGTTTTGTCACCGGCAAAATGGAGATCTTTCCTTTCTCGTGGAGATAATATGGGGATGCTCCTCACAGTGGCTCACAAGGGCTGGCTGGCTCTGGTGGGCTGCAGACCGTCTCTTTTTGAGATGACCAGACACTGGACAAAAGCTCACCCCAGTTTCAGCCAGAGAGGGCTCCTGACACCTTCCTTCTCTCCTTTAAAGGTTGGCCCTTTAGGCAACGGATTGGGACAGGCATGCATTTCTTTTCTTTTCTTTTCTTTTTTTTTTTTTTTTTAAAGATTATTTATTGGGGCACCTGGGTGACTCAGTGGGTTAAAGCCTCTGCCTTCGGCTCAGGTCGTGATCCCAGGGTCCTGGGATGGGGCCCCGTATCGGGCTCTCTGCTTAGTGGGGAGCCTGCTTTCTCTTCTCTCTCTGCCTGCCTTTCTGCCTACTTGTGATCTCTGTCTGTCAAATAAATAATTAAATAAAATCTAAAAAAAAATAGTAATTACTTGTTTACAGAGAGAGAGAGAGCGAGCACATGAGCACAAGTAGGGGGAGGAGCAGAGGGAGAGGGAAAAGCAGGCTCCCCTATGAGAGGGAGACCAACAGCCACCTGGGACTATAACCTGAGCCCAATGCAGGTGCTTAACCCACTGAGCCACCCAGATGCTCCAACAGGCATGCATTTCTGGCCGGACCAATTTATAACCACCTTGTACAGGCTGCTTCCTTTAGAGCTCTCATTCCAAGAACACTTCCCTCTTGCTACACTGAATACTCCTGTGCCAACTTACTTTCTTACTGGTAACATGCAAAAGGGCCAATTACCCCACACAGTACCGGCCATGACTAGTCTTTAAAACTTCTGTGAATATAATGTGCGGAATTATCATCTGACCCTAATTTGTGTTTTTCCGTTCATTAGTCAGGTTGAAAACACTTTCATCTTTTTCTGGGTATTATTAGCTGCTTGTATCTGTTCCGTGTTATCCTATTCTTTATTATTTACATGAGGTTTGTTTTTTAAGATTTTATTTATTTGACAGAGAGAGGCACAGCAAGAGAGGGAACACAAGCAGGGGTAGTGGGAGAGAGGAAGCAGGCTTCCCGCTGAGCAGGGAGCCCGATGCGGGGCTCAATCCCAGGACCCCGAGATCATGACCCCAGCCGAAGGCAGACATGACTGAGCCACCCAGGCCCCCCTATTTATAGGGGTTTTAAAAAAACACATGATGGTTATTAGCTTTTTATCTGTTTTCCATATTGTAATTATCTTTTCCCTGTTTCATGCCTTCAAGGACAATGAAACACTACTGTGGGACAACTTTTAGGACACCTTTTATCATTTAGAATGTGACCTGAATAATTTCTACTTCTTTTTTTTTTTTTTTAAGATTTTATTTATTTGACAGACAGAGATCATAAGTAGGCAGAGAGGCAGGCAGAAAGAGAGGAGGAAGCAGGCTCCCCGCTGAGCAGAGAGCCTGATGTGGGGCTGGATCCCACGACCCTGGGATCATGACCTGAGAGGAAGGCAGAGGCTTTAACCCACTGAGCCATCCAAGACCCAACAATTTCTACTTCTTAGAAGTTTATGTGTTGTCTCTTGGTCTGTGGTCAGATTATAAAAGTGTTCCATGTTTGAAAATCCTATCTTTTGATTACAAAGTTCTCCTTCTATTTATTAGGTCAAACTTGTTCAAGTGTTAGTCAAATGGCCTACTTTCCTCCATATTTGTCTACCTACTTGATCTACTATTAATCTTGTGAGTCTGCCTCTCTGTTGCCGTGTTACATTTTCATTATGTCTAACAGTTTCTGCTTTCTGACTTTCAAGGTTACCCTGTCAGGTACTTTAAGTTGGTTAACATGAGGACTTCTTTGTAAATTTTAACTGCGATCAATAGAAAACGTCCCTCCTTGCCCCATTCAAAAAAACGAAACTAGAATAAAAACAAAAGCACGCAGACAATTCGTGGTGCACAGTGGGAAGGTGGTGGGCAGAGCAAGAGAGTAGGGGAGTCTGGGCTCTGGGCCCAGCTCTGCCCCGCTGTGGGCTGTACGACAGGGAACTGCCCAGCTGCTTCATGGGGAAGCTGGCCACCTTGGAAAGGTTCCTTCCAGACCTCAGAGCTCTCTGCTCAGAGCACCTGAGACAGGCTTCTACCTCGGGTGGGCTGTGGGGTGGAAAGAAAAACTCACCAAAGCTGTAACTTCCAGTTAGCATCCGACTGGCTGGCAGTGGTGGGGTGGGGAGGGCAGATGGTGGGGAAGGGAAGAAAGAGAGAGCATAAGTCACTGGCTTTCCCCAGACATTGGGTCTTTCCAGCACGCCGGCTGCCCTCTTGTGTCCAGGATGGGCAACCGCAGAGGGCCGGCCCCAAGGCTATGAAGACCTGATGTCTGGGGGTTCGGGGAGGAACCAGGTGCTTTACAGCAGCGGCCTTTAGGGTATTTTCTTTTTGGGGATGGTGTGTCAACTGCTGCACAACACGACACTGAGTTTACAGGCTTCTGCGCTAACGGGGGTGAGTGAGGACTTCTGGAGACTATCTTGGACTCTGACCCAGCCCTCACCCTTTGCGCAGTGTCCAGCATGGTCCATCAGGGCGCTCTAGAGGAAAGCTCACGTCCATTCTTGGTTTTTCGAGGACTGGAGTCTCTCCAACTTGCCCGTCAGAGATCTCCTATGCACACCCCCACAATTCCTGCGGCAACTGGGCTGCTGTCTTTCCGGGACAAAATGGAGCGGGAGCCCCTTTTCCTGCCAAGAGTCTCCTCTGCCCGCCTCTTGCTTTCCTGGGCCTGCTTCTCTTCCTCCTCTGTCCCCTCTGCCCAGCTCTCTAGGTCGGTGCAGATGCAAATGAAGGGAAATACATGAAGGCAGTTGGAAGCGAGGAGGGGAGCGGAAAGGAGGGGAAGAGAGTGGGGCAGAGTTTACCTGTGGGTGTCGGCTGGGCCTGGAATGGGCCCTGGCTGCCAGGAGGAATGCTTCCAAATGCGGACAGGCCGGCGCTACTGCCAAAGGCATCGAAGTTGGCAAAGCCTCCGTGGGAGGGTGTCTGGCCTACAGGTGGAGGGAACATAAAGGCCATATATATAAAATGGACATATAATCGATAAAATATGCACTAACTGGGAAGGCCAAAGGCCACTGATGAGACACTGCCTTTCCACAGGGTCCTGCTCAGGGAGAGATGGCAGGGGCCTGGGCAGAGGGCCAGAAGCCCGCTGGGGGAAAGGGGATGTCAGAGGCCTCCCAAGTTCACTCCCTACCATCTCCTATCTTTATTCCATGAGGCATTCACATTTTTGTCAGGGGCTACTTTGGGCTAAATCACGTGGGGGAAAAAAAAGTTGGTTTTGGCGGGGGAAGGGGCTTGAAAGGCAAAAAGGAAACTAGATACCATTTTATTCAACCCTCTGTTGGCTGTTGCTGATCTCTGGGAAGAGGGCAGGGGAAATGGAACACAGGATAAGCCCCCCGCCCCCATTTTAACGGAAAAAGACAGTAATAAACAGGCGATCCAGTGTTCTAAGAGGAGGCGCTAGAGTCCCCGACTGTCATGTTTTCTGGTCAAACTCACAGATATAATCCCGGCCACTCTCATCTGACCCCGGCCCTTCCAACTCTGATGCTTCAGAACTGTCAGCACATTCATTTGTGGGATGGGAGCTAAGAGCCAGCGGGGAGCAGGGGGTTGTGGGGGGGGAAACTTGGTCACCCTAAGGGTGTGAATGCCTTGTGTCAGGGGTAATACACTGTAGGAATGTTCTCTTCCCAGGTCCCACTTACCCCCGAAGGCTGGGAATGCAGCGAAAGCCGGTGCCACAGGGGGAGCAGCAAAGGGATCTCCTCCTATGTCGGCCAGCAGGTCAGTACTGGCTTTCTTGATGGAGGAGTGGGGAGGTGGCTGAGAGCTCCGGGGCTGGGACATCCGAGGCTGAGACTGACTGTCAGACTTGAGAAGAGAAGGCATGACATAGAGCACTTGGGAGTCCCAGACATGACCCGGCCCCTGCATGGCTCTCTAGGCTGCCCCCAGATAGGCACGTGGAGAGAGAAGAGAGGGAGAAACTGCCCTCAACTGAGAGATTTCCTGGGCAGCAACTGCCTGAGCCCCTCACGTACCTAACTTCTCTGTCTTCTTAGCGTACCAGCTCCCAGAAGCAGACATTTCAGAGCCTTTCAGTGACAGTTAACACTGAGCTACACAGGGATGTTGCCAAGAGAACCCCCTCCCCCCCAGGTCCCCAGCCCCGAAGCTGAGACTTCCTCCTCTTTCCAAGGGGCTTGAGGCATTGTCCCGGCCCCTCTGCGTTTCCTTGGAGCAATGGTCAAGTTTGAGGTTGATACTCTGACTTCCCTAGATAGCACTTCCTGTTGGGTTCTTTCTTCCAAAAGACAGGAGGCCACGGTGAGTCCCAAACATAGGTAACAGCACGGCGGAGAATTAACTCACATCTCCTCTACTGTCGTCTGCTAAGTCCGGAGCTGGGGCTGGATTTAGGAAACAGACATCCCTGTCTGCCAAATCCCTAGCTAGTGTTGGAGGGCGGAGGGCGGGTGTGAGAGTTACCTGGCTAGAGGTGGAGGCTGCCGCTGAGAGAGACGGCGCAGGCTCCCCCAGGAGAGTCCGCAGGGGCTTTCCTTCCGGGACGGAGCCCTGGATGGGGGTGGAGGCACTGCCTTTGGTATAAGCGGGACCCTTGACTTGGTCTGGGGGGACATACCTTTGGAAAGAATAGTCAGGCTGAGAGGAGGGGGTAACACCACAGGCCATGCTCAAGTGTAGGCATCTGGGAAGCACAGGTGACAGCAGTCGAGTCCCCTGGCCTTTGCCCACGGATTTTCTTTTTCGAACTAAAGGGACTTTCGTAACTCAGCCAAGTTCTGTCCATCCTGAGGGTCCCCCTTTACTGTCAGATGCTCCTTCTTTTCTGCGGGAATGTTCACTTTGCTCTGACTTGGGCCGGGTTTTCTCTCCCCTCTCCATTCTCTTTCTGACATCAAACCATTTGGGTTTCAAGTAACAAACTGCCAGCAATGCTGCTGGACAGGTGATGCTATTTTCCAACTCCTTTCCAGTCCCACAGAAAGTTTCTGCCCCCTCCTATCCTAAGTGCTCACAATCTATCCTGCCAGCTTCTGCTACGTCTGATAAAATCCCCTCCACTCCCGTGTATGTATGTTCTACCCTGGAGGTATCTTCTTTGTCTGGAGGACACCCCCAGCAGGGTCTCCAAAATGCTGTTTTGTCCACAATGATCTCCTTGCTGTCTGCATTCTCTTCACTGCCCTAGAGTTATCCCCCCAACATGCACACACCCCTGAGATTAAGCCACGGAAAGTGCCACCTGGGGAGAGAAAAGGAAGGGCAGAGCAGAGATGCTGTTCTCGTCACCAGGAAAACAGAACACACATAAAATGCGGATAAAACGCTGGGTTAATGGGGCACCTGGGTGGCTCAGTGGGTTAAGCCTCTGCCTTCGGCTCAGGTCATGATCCCAGGGTCCTGGGATAGAGCCCCGCATCAAGCTCTCTGCTCAGCAGGGAGCCTGCTTCCCTTCCTCTCTCTCTGCCTTCCTCTCTCTCTGCCTGCCTCTTGGCCTACTTGTGATCTCTCTCTGTCAAATAAATAAATAAAATTAAAAAAACAAAAACAAAAACCAAACAAATAAAAAACAAAAAACACGCTGGGTTAAAAGCACAGGCTCCAGGACATGTGCTCCCAGCTGCCTCTCTGCATATATGGGCCCAGCTGGGCTTTAACCTGCCCCATACTCCCTCAGGCCCACCCCTTCTCCAAGTAGTCTGAGGTCTCTCCAAAAGAGAGGCATCGAATCTGCGAGGTTAGTGACTGGGAACAAACTGTCCTTTAGGTAGCTTTATAATTTTGAAGTCTGGCCTTTGAGAAAAGCCCCAATTCAAGTTTGGAAACTGGACCGTCCGACGAAGAATGTCGTGGCACATGGGTGTGCGCAGCAATCTCTTTCCTCCTCCTTACCATCTCTTTTTCTCGTATTTTTCCTGGAGAAACTCCTTCACCTTCTGAGGGTCCCTGGAATCTGGTATTAAAGATGTCCGAGCATCAAAAAGGCCCAGCCAAATCTTCCTGCAAACCTACAGGCATGGAATCAGGTAAGAGAGGAGTTCGGGCAGAAAGCATGGGATGGGGAGGAGAGCACCCCCACTTTATTCATCAATACGTATTTACTGAGCACAGACACAGCTGAAAGTCTGGGTGTATCTACAAAGCAGACACCATCCCTGTCTTCACAGAGTTGACCATCTAATGGGGGAGGTCATGCCTTAGGTAAGTAAAAAAAGATTTATAATTACATGTTATGACACAACTTAGAAAAGAGAGGGCCATAAGAATTATGGGGAACTAAATCTGGATGGGGGTGGGGTCAGGGACAAGCTGTGGCTTCTAGAACACCCCTCCAGAGCCCTCCCTGGTTGGCAGCCTCCAAGTAAGCCAATCACCTTCAAGCTAGGAGGACTGCTAACACCAAGGATGGTGTCTTCCCGCTGCCAGCAGATTTAGCTGGGGAAGGGGTCTAACCCACATTCGAGGACACATGTGGGCTTAATCCCACGGTGCTGAGGGTTGGGTCGGTAGAGCTGGATCCAGGAGATCTTACTCCAGGGGGCCCGCCCCGTCTATTCTGAATGTTCAGGAATGTGGAGCTCTAACTGTCCAGGGGAAGTCTTCCCTGTGAGTGCCCAGGAGTCACCCCCTACAGAGATTTTGCTCCTTTCCCCCCGATTCCTCTAACAAGGGCCCAGACAAAGCACAATTTGTATAACCAAGATTCCACGGATATACAAATATACATAGACAGGATATACTATACACTCACTAAAAAATAAAAGAAACTCGACCAAAAAAGCAAGCTACAGTCTTGAGGCAAGGAGCCCCCTGGCCAGAAGGGCAACTACAGCCAGCAGCCATTCCATCGGTGGTGGCTCACCTCGTTTCCGCGGGATTGCAGGAATACCACTTCAGGCTCAGTGAAAGTTGTCATGGAGATGGACTTGACTCGATGAGGGGGGTTCAGGCCTCTCCTGTGCCAGAGAGACAGGAAGAGAGGCACAATGCAGTTAGCACTGCAGGTCTGTTTATGGGAGGAGAGGTGGGCAGAAAGGATAAAACAACACATGAATTAAGCTCAGAGAGATCCCTAATTCAAGGAAAGAAGGGAAGCGAGAATGTTTTGGAGGCTTTTAATGACAGTCAAGAATGTGTCATGTTCCCTGTCGCTCTGGAGAGGAAGGCAGAGCCCGCCCACCCAGAAGCCCTCTCTTCTTTGCCTCAGTTCCGTGTTCAGCCTGCAGGCTGGGGGGTAAATTCCGGGAACTCAGAGATGGGCCCACTTCCCATTTCCTGTTTTACCACTGTTTTACACCTGCCTGCCCCTCCTCTTTGTCTCAACAGAAAGTGTGGTGGTAGGGGTGGAGAGGGCCCCTCTCTTTCAGGAAAAGATCTCTGGGAAAAGAGATAATCCAGGTTTTCTCAGCTCTCGATCTTTAGATGAAGCAGGAGGAAGTCAGCTTCAACCATGAATATGAGATTGGCATGAGTCAGGAACATGCATCCCGTAGCGATGCTTTTGTGCCAGCTCTGTTGTGTTCTGTTAACTCTCTAGGAGTCTAGTTGTGCCCACAGAAGCCCTGTGGAGATTACAGTAGACAAGAAGGCTTCCTTGCCCCGACTCAACTGCCCTCTGGAGTGTTCTCACAAGGGAAACTTGGCGCTAAGCCAGGTTCCCCTTTCCTTTTCCCTTAAGTTTTACTCTGGTCTAGACCACCAGCACTTATCGGATGAAAACAGAGCTGGCCAAACCACAATGAGTAAACCAGCCCCTGGGACCGGCACGTGAATGAGCACAGGCACCGGCAGGAAAGACAGTTTCAGCTCATGTGGCTTTTCAGACTTAAATTCCCCTGGGGGGGGGTAGGAATGAAAGGGCAAACCAAGATATGAAAATAAAAGGAACTCGGGAAGAGGGTCCTGGTTGATGCCATCAGGAAGCAGAGAGGAAGGCAGAGACCATCCAGTTTACCAAATGGAAACCGTAGAAAAAATTCAGGCTTACAGGTGCACGCACAAAAGTCTAGAAGAATGGCAGTGTTGTGTAAGCCTACACCGAGGCAGTGGGGGGGGGGTAGGGGGGGGACAGGTGACACAGTCCAGGGCGAACAGTGAAGAGTGGGAGCCCCTTTGAATGATAAATTACTGACTGCAGGATTCTAACAAAGGACAGGACACCGAAGGCTGTAATTGAAGGCATTTTCAGCAATTCTGCTGCTAGACTTTTAAGTAAAGGGTCTCAAAATACTCCTTTAAAAGACAGTATCAAAGAGGTCTGATGCCCCAAGGAAAGATTAGAGCAGCAAAATCCAAAAGCAAGGCTTTGTAACTACGTGTCAAACAATAGCTCTTAAATCTGATCGGCCCTGAAAACTCTTCTAAGCACATTTCAGAGATACTCCACAGTTTTCTCTCCTAAAGTCTGTCTTACTCATGGCCTAGTTTTGTTTTGAAGTCCAGACAGCCTTTTATATTCTTTTCCTAGCTCTTGGTCACCTTAATCTCTAAGCCCTTCCCTCTCTCGAAGGCCAAATGGTCAGAGATTAGCCAGAGCAGACCTCTCCGTCCCTGGGATCCCAGGGATCCCAGCCCTTCCCCTCCCACTAACAACTACATCCTTTGCCAAAATACAAGGTACTATGGTAGGCACTTGGAGGAATGTAAGTTATCACTCTGTATCATACAGAGCACTTATCATGTAGGACCTAGTCCTTGATCACTGGGCGCTTGCTTACAGTGACCCTAGACGCCTGGGTAAAGATACTTCTCGACACAGTTGGGTGCCATTTAGGCATACACAGAGCCGGATCAGGGAGAATGTGGCACCAGGATGCCGCAGTCGGGGAAGGAAGAGAAATGGCCATGGGAAAAGTAAAATGTATTAGGCTAACACTAGAAAAACAGATTCAAAGTCTATCACAAAAAGGTCATTGACATTTCCTGAAAGGACAACCAGGAACTGTTAGCAAAGTGTAAACAGGGAGGTGTGTTTCCTAGTGGGGGAGGGAGAGGGACTTGACCCATTCATCAGTCTGGAGGGGATGATTAGAACAGAACTTCCTATGGCTGAGCTTAGACTGGAGGGTTTTTTTTTTGGTGGGGGGGCGGGGAGATAGGATGAAGGGAAAGCAGAGAAAATAAGTGACTTAGGTGCTTTGGGCCAAATGAATCCGAGGGAACAGGATGTTTCCGTAGCACAGCACAAAAATCAGTGCTCTGACCTTGTTGTCTGTAGACTGGATTATGTATAACTAGAGCCACAGTTTGGGGGCAGGGAGAATTCTCTACAAGGCAACATTCTGCAGCCCAGGAAGAGGACCTAGTTACATGGCCTATGAGTCAGAGCTTTTTGTTTCTGAATCAGAGAGAGGCCACTGCTGGCTGACAGGAACAAGTTAGACACAAGAGCCCCTCTCCTCCCAGAAGCTGAAATCGAATGGTTGAGGGGCTCGCTGGGGACATAGCAGGGTCATGCGAGGGGCCAGATCTGAGTCACTGGCCTGGAATCAAACAGAACCAATCTCCAAGCTGCCCCCAGTCTCCCCGACATGACTCACAGCTTTCCCCCCCAAAGAAATGAGAGCTAGAAGGAGACACTGCCCTTCGGGTATCACAGCAAATCCATTCTGTTATTTCTGACCAGGTGGTGCTGGGGAAACACAGAGATAAATTTATTTGCCCAGAATAGGGCAAGTGTTTCCAACGGAAAGCAAGTACGTTACTAGGACTTGAGCCTTGGCCCATTCGGGAGGCTTTCCATTTTGGTTTCGCAGGGCACCTGACTGGCATTCCCTCTTTGAAGTGCCCTGAATTACTGGCAGCCAAAGGACCTGCAGGGACCCTAAAGCCCGCCCAGGGCTCTCTCCTTGCCTCTCTCTCCCTTCCCTTTGATGCTACCAAGCGTAGGACTATTCCTACAAATACCACACCTTTTGTTTTTCTGTGGTCGTCACCCTTACCACGGCCCATATTTCGCTTCTGTCTTTCTTGGTGAAAGTCTCAGACTTGCTCAGCAGCTCAGATAAGAAGTTTCTGTCAGGTCAAACAATGGAAAAAAACAGTTCTACCCGGCACGCAAGTTCTTTCCTTTGTGCCAAACTTGGACCTGGGAATTCCTGACTTCTGAATATTTCATGTTCAGGTTCATTCCCCCACCACGGGGGGTTTCTTGGCTCCTGGGATTCCAGTCCTCTGTCTCTGTGCAGGATTCTTATCTTGGATCCAAACATCACCAAAGAGAGTCCCTATTAGAGACTCTTACTAGTCCCTAATAGGAGAGCTCCCCCCTTACCCTGCTGTAGGCTCAAATTCACTACTTTTAGGGAACTTCTTCCTAATCAAAAATCCCAGCTTCAACTCATTTCCTGTAGTTCTTCCTTAGTGAAAGTGATTAACCGTTGTCCTCTGCCCTCCTCTTCAGGCTCGTTCTTGGTTTCTTTGACATTCTTCCCTCTTCTTCTCATCTCTTTGGATGAAAGGTGAGGTGGGAGGCGATGGAGGGACGGGACTCACACAGGGGCCAGGGACACGTCTGCCTCTCTCACCCAGACGGATGGAAAAGTACTGAATTATTGAGCAACACACTATGCCTTTCCCTCCATGGAGATAAAAAAGCTTCAACGAGGAACTACTACCAGCAAAGCCAGATAGGGAAACTAAGGCACCTGGAGGTTAGGGACTTGTCACGAAGAGCGAGCTGTCAAGCACCTCTCCTAGGCACGCAGCCCAGAGCTCTGTCCACCCAAATCCTGACTTTATCCCACTACTGGAATAAAGTTGTGCAGAAGTAGAGGATCCCACTACTGGAATAAAGTTGTGCAGAAGTAGAGGAGACCAGTATTACTGAGTCCTGAAGGACTATGGATTAAAGATGGACCTACGGGGTGCCTGGGTGGCTCAGTGGGTTGAGCCTCTGCCTTCGTTTCAGGTCATGGTCTCGGGGTCCTGGGATGGAGCCCAGTGTCAGGCTCTCTGCTCGGTGGGGAGCCTGCTTCCCCGCCCCAACCCCCCACCCCCCACCTGCCTCTCTGTCTACTTGTGATCTCTCTGTCAAATAAATAAATAAAAACCTTAAAAAAAAAAAAAAGATGGACCCAGACAGCCAGGTTAGGGAAGCATGCCACAGACTTTGCTGAAAAAAACTGGGCGTCAAAGACAGTGCCCATTCCTGATGTCAATGACAGTTCAGGCCCTAAGATCTATTTTTTTACCAAAGAAACGTGGTCTATCCATTGAGGAAGGTGGGCAAACCAGAACAAGGAAAAAAAAAAAAACCACTGAAGGCACCGTTTTGGAAAAAGTACTTTTTAGCAGCAATCTTTACCCTGTCCTAGCTGTGCTCTCTACTAGAAGAGTCAGACACAACAAAACACATAGGCAGATGTATATGTTGGGGAAATGAAAAGGACCTATATCCAGGTTAAGGAAACTAGGTATTGGACGAAAACCAAATGAATAAAACTAGGTCAAATTTGGGACCTACAATTGTGGCAGCATGAATATAAATTTAGAAACAGCCCAAACTAGCAGCTTCTCTCTCAATCCCTCACACCAACGCTGTGGTTTTCTGCTAGAGCTGAGAAAATGTTTCTCATGAAAAAAGAAAATGAGAATGAGCTCTCACATGTAGTGATGAAGCCACAATGAGCTCTCACATGTAGTGATGAAGCCACAGTCATACCCACCCACCAGTATTAAAATCGAGAATTTTCTGCAGACCTTGGGAAATTCAACTTGGGCTGCAACAGTCAACTCTGTCGCATCTGTCCGTGCAGCCAGCTGGGAGCTCTGGTAATTGTGCTCGCTGCCCCCCGAACGCTCCACTCCCCCAAGAGGCGGACACATCTGTAACATCTTCAGCAGAAAGCTGGCTTTCAAAATAAGGCCAGTCTCGTCGTCGTCTTTCTCTGGCTATGGTGCTAAATGTTGTACTTGAATTCTTGCCCCCCTCAATACCCTAGTCCTTTTTTTTTTTTTTAAGGTTTTATTTATTTGAGAGAGAGGGAGGAGCGCACAAACAGGGGGAGTGGCAGAGGGAGAGGGAGAAAGCAGGCTCCCCGCTGAGCAGGGAGCCCAACTCGGGGCTTGATCCCAGCACCCTGGGATCATGACCTGAGCCAAAGGCAGATGCTTAACCGACTGAGCCACCCAGGCGCCCCAAATCCCTCGTCCTTTAAACAAAGAATATTTCTTCTCTTTCCATCATCATACCTCAACGTGAGCTCCCATCACTCTCTAGCCCATGCTGAGCTTTACCTCACAGCCCTTATTACCACCTATAATTATGTATTTAATGATTGACTTAAAGCCCATGGCTTCCACCATGGTGTAAGCTACATGAAGATGGGTACAGTTCTGTGCACTGCCATATCTCCGGTGCCTAAGAACGAATCTGGAGCTTGATAGACACTCGGACACTTGATAAATGTATGTTGACAGACTGAATCAATGAGCAGCCTCTTGGGGCCTACCATGATATTCACTTCCCAGCACCACGAAATCCTCATCTGTGGGCAATCAACCATGTGGGTTTAAGATGTTAATTGGTCTATGTGTCCCCCTGGAGCCAGGCCCCTCCACGGCCTGCTAGACTGTGCCTGCTTCCTCTTGACTCCACGCCCAGTGATAAGCACTTCCACCTTCCGTTCACGGCCCACCCGCCAGCTCCCAGCCTTGCCCAAGGTGCATCAGAGGGCACAAGCAGTACTTTGTGAAGACCCTTTTATAAGCTTCCTTTGCCTTGCCCTACTTAGCTCATGCTAATTAGAACTTCAATTAGCACAGGAGAAGTACCATCAAGAACTTAGGCACAGCCAGGAAAACTACAGCTGGCTTCTAGAATTTCCTCTTTCTCTCCTTATGATGTCAACATGCCCTTTAGTTCAGCTTCATTTATTGGCCCGGCCTTTTGATCTTTCACTAAAGACCAAAAATAATGAACACAGGGGAAAGGTGGTCACGTTCTGCAAAGTGTGTCCTGATCTTTAAGGAGTTAACTGTTCTAGCAAAAGAAATCAGGTTTTTAATGTGTGCCAGATCCCCTGACCCTCCTTCTGTCCTGATTGAGGGATATTCATTATAGAAAGGAAATGTTATCTATGGGATACTTTAAACCAAGATCTATAACATATATATACATATATATATATATGTGTATACATACATATATATATACACATATATATATATATGTATGTATTTTTTAAAGATTTTATTTATTTATTTGACAGAGAGAGATCACAAGTAGGCAGAGAGGCAGGCTGAGAAAGAGGAGGAAGCATGATCCCCGCGGAGCAGAGAGTCCGATGCGATGCGGGGCTCGATCCCAGGACCCTGAGATCATGACCTGAGCTGAAGGCAGAGACTTAACCCACTGAGCCACCCAGGCGCCCAAGATCTATAAAATATTGAAAATAGTGTCAGCCCTCCCATTTAGTCGGTGCTTTATCTTTTGTGCCATGCAGCAAACCATGGGGATGGATTAATACTGTTTCCAAACATTTCCTTCCTAGGACTCAGACTCTGATATGCCATCAGTTTTATCCCCTTGCTCCCAGACTCTATAATCAGATTTTCCTCTTCATAACAGGATCTTCGGGAATCTGTTCTTTCTCTTTCTGCTATAAATAGTCCTAAACTTCGCTCCTTCTCTCCTCAGAGTACTTGTCCCAGTCTCAGTTCTATCCTTTTGCCTTCAGTTAAGTCTCTACCTTTTGACACCTTCCTGTTTGGGTTCTAATCATTGTCCCAAGAGCCCTACTAGTGTTTACTTAGACCCAAGTCATAACACACAAGTGAGGTTGCTCAGAACACAGAAGTTTGGCAAAGGAGGTAAAAACCCCAGAGAGAGAGAGAGAGAATCCTACACGGTATCTGAGGAGACCTGGATCTTCATTTCTGATCTGCCGTGATCAGAACTAATATCCAATAACCAATGCTGAAAACAGCAACTCCCATATGGCACTGGATAAATCAGTAAACCTCTCTTTGCTTCTGTTCTCCCATCTGTCACGTAAGAACAATACTGCTCCCTCCTTGGCTCCTAAAGGTGTAAGATGAAACAAGGAAAGCCCCCCTTGTTAAACACAAAACTGACAAACCAATATATTAAAGCAATACTAAACAAGTCAGAATGAATCTCTTGATGGACTTAGAATTGAGATACAGGGTTGGTATCAAACGTTAATCACCATCTAACTAAATAATTCCCTATGGGGGGTGGTGGTGGAGAACCTTACTCTGTAACCAGAAATCTGGCCTGGAACTGTGTGGCTCTAAATTAGCTCGGGCATGACCAAATACAGTGCCGGTGCCAAGTGTAGCATTGCAGATTATACAACAAAACTCCCCCAAATCTGGAAAGAGCTGCCAGATGCTACTACCAGGATCAAGCCATGGCAACAAGAAGCTTAAAGGTGTAAACTATTACACTTAAGGATGGCTCATCCAGATCCCCAAACCTTTGGAAAAGTTAAGCTCTCTAACAGGGTAAACGCATCCGCTCTCATCGCTTAAGACCTGCACTCCAGAGCCCTGCATTATTAGGACCTGCCCCTGAACGCCGGAACGGGGCTCCTTACCTGTCACTATCTCTACGCTGTCAGCCCGGGTTAACTTACCTATTTTAAAGGGGTTTCTCCATCTCACACTCCAGGATGGGCACAAGCCGGAAGGAAGAAAAGTACGCCTCCCTCTAGAGCCCAGCTTACTCTCCCCCTTTCCTATTTGCCCCTCACCTACAGAGAGTTCCCTTTCAAGGTGTGTGTCATTCTCTGGCCCTTTAAATCTCTAACCACCCCCCACCCCCGCGCCTGTTCCCTTCGACTCTCCCCCACTTTCGGTTCGGTTCGCCGCCCCCCTTCTTCGGGAGTTTCTCCCTTCTTGTCCGGTGCCCTTCCTTTCCCCTGCAGCGCGACTCCAATCGTGTCTTGTCTCCCCTGCCTATTTCCCTTCCCCATCACACCTCTCTGCAGCAGACGACCCTCGCGCATCAGGAGCGTGCCCAGGCCTCCCCGCCGCCCCGACCTCGGCTCTGTCCCTTCGCCCCGGATCCATGCTGTCCCCAACGCCGACACTCCGCAGCCCCTTCCCCCCACCCCCCGCCTACCCGGCGCCAGTCCACTCACAGGAGGCCAGAGCAGGTGGTGCAGACGAAGCTGCCCACGGTGATATCCACGTAGGTGACGCCGCGCTGGGCGCACTCGAAGCAGTGGCGGTTCCCCGCCTGGCTGCAGCCGCCCAGCTCCCGCACCCGGCGACACCACACCTCCGAGGCCGCCTCCGCCTCCGCCTTTCCCCCGCTGACCCCGCCACCCGGGCCTGGACCCTTCTTCGCCGCCATCACCATGGTTGCCCGCTCCCTCGGACCTCCTCCACGCAAGTCAGGGATCGTCCCTTCAACCACAGCCGTCTTCCCGCCTCCTCTGCCTCCTCCGCACAACCCGCTCCCCTGACAGAAGCGAGGGAGCCGGAGACCTCCGCGAGAGACTCCTCAACCCCTTGCCTTGCCTAGTCTGCACGCTGATTGGTTAGTCTTCTCCCACCTCCTCACTCTGATTGGCTCGACATTGGACGGCCTTGGGTTGCCGGAGCCCCCAACGCCACGCCCCACCGCCTTCACCCTCAGGCCTCTCCGGTTGGCCCGCAGAGACACTGCCGCGAGAGCCGTGCGTGCCCTCTCCCTGTCCCCGCCCCCTCTCGCCACGGCCACCACGGCGGCCCGCCTCCCAGATTCGATTGGTGAGTCCTCGGAACACGGGCTCCGACGCTAACTCTGATTGGCTGGCGAGGCTGCAAAGTTAGCGCGCGAGAAAGAGTAGGTGTCTCGCGCGTGCGCAGCCCTGGTCCTCCTGAATGGTGGCGCTGATTCCCGCCAAATTTCAAAGGCCCAGTCACCACTAGACGGTGCAGAGAGGTACGAAAAGGAGAAAAGTGGTCATGGAAGGGACCGAAGGGAGGAGGAAAAGAAGGGAGCCCTCAGAGGAAGGGAGAGAGGGGAGGGAGTGCTTTAAAACGCTTTCATTTTACTGCTACGCTATGCCACAGGAAATCTCATTTTACGGAAAGTTTGGGTTATACGACTCGAGTTAGGTCACATGACTCGAGTTAGGGCACATGACCGGTATGTGGCCCCGCCAGGATGCTGATGTGGGTCGTCGTCTGACTTTAGAAACCCTGCTTTTAACCACCACGCCACCCGTGGAACGGTGTTTGACAAACACGTATGGGTTTCAGGCGCTGTTCTAGAGAGTGGAAGTCCAGCAGTAAACCAATCAAAATTCCTGTCCTCATGGAGCTTACCGTCTAGGAGGGGGAGGCAGACCATAATGATAAGTCCTACGCAGAGAATTAAAATAAGGTATTGGGTTTTTTTTTTTTTTTAAAGATTTTATTTATTTATTTGACAGACAGAGATCACAAGTAATCAGAGAGAGAGAGGAAGGGAAGCAAGCTCCCCGCTGAGCAGGGAGCCCGACTGGTGGCTCAATCCCAGGACCCTGGGATCATGACCCGAGCTGAAGGCAGAGGCTTTAACCCACTGAGCCACCCAGGCGCCCCTAAAATAAGGTTTTGTAAAGGAGGGTGCCTTGTTGGGTATTTTAGATTGGTCGTTGTAACCATCTCTATTGATGTCTCTCAGTGATATTTAAGTTGAGACCCAAGCAACTAAGAGGAATCAGCCATGAGAAGATCCGAGGGGGAGCAATCCAAACGGAGGGAAAAGCAACTACAAAGTCCCTAGAGCATGAAGAAACTGGGTGTTTTGAAGCCAGAAAAGAAAGCCAGCGTGACTGGGGCATGGTGAGTGAGGGGAGAATGGAGGGGATTGTACTGGAATGGTAACCGGTTGTGTAGAAACTTCCAGGCTTTCGTAAGGAGTTTGGGTTTTCTTCTAAGTGTGTTGGGAAGCTGTATCAGTTAGAATTACGTCCTCCTATGACAGAAAACTTCTAATAATTAGGGCTTAAACAAAATGAAGCTTATTTCTCTCTCGTGTAAAAATCTCGGTAGGCGTTTCAGGGCTGGTGCATTTCTCCACTACAGCAGGGGCCCAGGCTCCTTCTATCTTGTTGCTCATAGGGCATTACCTTTGCTCCCAAGTTCACCTTGTGATCTATTCCAGCTTCAACCATCATGCCTGTTACAGCAGCAGGAGGAGCCTGCTCTTTTTTTTTTTTTTTAAGATTTTATTTATTTATTTGACAGAGAGAGAGAGACCACAAGTAGGCAGAGGCAGGCAGAGAGAGAAGGGGAAGCAGGCTCCCGGCTGAGCAGAGAGCCCGATGCGGGGCTCGATCCCAGGACCCTGAGATCGTGACCTGAGCCGAAGGCAGAGGCTCAACCCACTGAGCCACCCAGGCGCCCAAGCCTGCTCTTTTGAAAGACATGCCAGGAGACTGCACACAACCTCCTTGGCTCTCTCTGGTTAGAACTCGGTCACATGACCACACCTAAGAGCAAGGAGGGACTCTGAAAAATGTGTTCTTTATTTTGGGCTTCCGTATGCTCACCTAAACTTAAGAGTTTCTGTAACTGAGGCAGAAGGAAAGAAAGGCATAAGGGTAAAACTACAGTGTCTGCCACAGCAGTCATAGAAGAATTGTAGCAAGGGCGAGGCATGATCCGATTTTCAGTTCTAAAATCATGCTCACTGGATGGGAAATGGTTATAGGTGGCGAAGATTGGAACTAGGGCAACCAAGAAGTGAGTTCAGCAGTCCGGGTGGAAGGTGATGGCGGCATAGACCAGGGTGTTAGGAGTGGGTTGGAGAGAGATGGATTGATTCAGGGAATGTTTTGGAGGTAAAATGCATGGGATTTGTTAATGGATTACATGAGGTGATGAGGAAAAGACAAGTCACTGGCAGCCTTGCTAGAGAAGATTGTCCAGCAGAACTCTCCATGATCGTGGACATGCTCTGTCGCTGACTGTCCAATATGGTAGCTCTCAAGCCCTTGAAATGTGGCTAGTAAAACTGCAAACCTGGGATGTTAATTTAAATTAAATTAAATTTTAATTAATTTAAATTTAAATAGCCACATGCGGTTGACGACTAGCATAGTGGACAAGAGCAGCTCTGGATTTTTGTTTTGGTGGCTTATAGGGCCATTTCTTGAAGAAAGGGAGACTGTAGCAGGAGCAGCTAAGTGGATGCTGAGAGCTAGAAATCAGTAGTTTTGCCTTGGGCATGTTGATTTGAGATCCTTATGAGGCCTCCACAGGGCTGATCAAGGAGCCCGGTGGATGTATAATCTGGATTTGCAGGCAAGGCTAGAGCTGGACATGTCGGTTTAGGACTCATCAATAGCTAGGAGTTATTTAAAACTATGGGACAGGATGAGGTTGCTTAGGTACAGCACGTAGACAGAAGAGGGCCCAGAATTAAGCCCTGGCAACCCACACCCGTACTTTGTTCCGCCTCTCCAGCCACAGAGTGTCCCTAAAAGGAGGCAACATCAAGTCACATCCAGATAAGACAGATGTGACATCTCAGGCCACTTTAAACATTCTTTCTAAGTTTCAGAGCTCACTGCTTCAACGTGCTGCCCATTCTTCCTATATACTCTGTAGCCAAGTGTTGGTTCTTACTATTCTTTTTTTTTCTAAAGATTTTATTTATTTATTCAACAGAGAGAGAGAGAGAGAGAGATCACAAGTAGGCAGAGAGGCAGGCAGAGAGAGAGGGGAAGCAGGCTCCCCGCTGTGCAGAGAGCAGGATGAGGGGCTCCATCCCAGGACCTTGAGATCATGACCTGAGTGGAAGGCAGAGGCTTAACCCACTAAGCCACCCAGGAGCCTGGTTCTTACTATTCTGAAACCTCGAACAAACTGGTAGACTTAGCTCCCTCCAAACACTGATGTATACAATAGTGAGGGAGGAAAATTAGTATATCTATATGGATTGTGATGGTTTTCTGTTAATTTGTGCCACTGGGTGTGGTGGTGCAAGGAGGCAACCACCACCCTCCCAGGCCCTATCAGGGAGTAACAACCCTACTTCCCCTTCATAATCAGGGTAGCAGGCTAGCACAGGAACACCCTTTCCTGCCATTACCCTAGTGGGAGGAGGAGTCCCAAAGGACCAGGGAACCCTAATTGGGTTCTTCAACGACAACACCTCACCCTAGACCATTATGTCTACAGAGCATGAGTGACTTGGGGGATGGGAAGCAAATATTTTTAGAGAGAAAAGTAATAGAGCGGTCACCCTGCACCCCCAACCCGTCCACTGCAGCCCTAGGCTTCTGGACCTCTGTATTGGCCGAGAGAGAACTGACACTGCATTTTGGTGAGGGTTTGAGATCACATATCACTTTCTACAAGAAAGCGTCCCAGCCTTACAGGTGCGGTCTCTTGGATACTGCTAGATCTGTTTTCAGAACACCATTTCATTGTTCTAGAAGGCCAGCTGCTTCTGGTGGATGGGAAATACGATAATGGCCCATGGCTTGCCAACTGTCTCATTTCTCTCCCCGGGAAGTGAATTTCTTGGTTGGAGACAATTTTATCCAGACACCCTGTTGTTACGCAAAGTCAGTAGTTCCAAGAATGGTAAAGTAGAGGCATAACCAGCGGGGAAAGCAAACCCAAAGACAGAAAAAGTGTTTCTTCCAGAGTGCATAATTCGCCACACCCCCTGTGACACAGGGGACCTGACAGAGTTGACCTGCCACGGGATTCCTGACAGGTCTCCAAGAAGCCTGTTGCTCAGTTAGGACTTTACGACTGTATCCAGCTCCCTCCTGAATTCAGTTACTGTTTACAATACTTTATTTTTTCAGTTCATTTTCTTCATTTTTCTAAGGAGAGATCACATTGTCTTCAAATAGTGATAGTGTTAACTTCTTTTTTTAAAAAATATTTTACTTATTTATTTGACAGAGAGAGAGACAGCGAGAGAGGGAACACAACCAAGGGGAGTGTGAGAGGGAGAAGCCGGCTTCCCGCCGAGCAGGGAGCCCGATGTGGGGCTCGATCCCAGGATCCCGAGATCATGACCCGAGCCGAAGGCAGACAGATGCCCAACGCCTGAGCCACCCAGGTGCCCCAGTGTTAACTTCTCTCTCTCTCTCTTTTTTAAATAAGGATTTATTTATTTATTTATTTATTTATTTATTTGACAGACAGAGATCACAAGTAGGCAAAGAGGCAGGCAGAGAGAGAGAGAGGGAAGCAGGCTCCCTACTGAGCAGTGAGCCCAATATGGGGCTCGATCATGATCCGGGGATCATGACCGGAGCTAAAGGCAGAGGCTTTAACCCACTGAGCCACCCAGGCGCCCTTGGTGTTAACTTCTCTTGATGGTTTTTGTCCCCAGTTACTTTCTTCTGTCTAATCAAGTTGTTTGAACATCTAAAACTAGTTAGATAATAATGGGTATCTTTCTCCTCCTCTAAGGAGAGAAATATCAGGAGAAACTCTATAAGAAAGCTGTAGGGTTTGCTTCTGTCCCTCTGCTTACTCAGTTCCCCCATCCCAGCCATCCGAGACTCATTCTGAAGGGGCTTTTGTGCCCCACGGTTGCCCCTTCACTGTTGGAGAAATGTACTGCTGGCTCTTTTTGAGGTAGGCAATGGCAGTGACTTGTCCCCTTTCCTTCCACATGCTCCTCTGCTAGAATTCCAGTACTTTTG